AGAAATGTTTCAGCAGCAACGTGAAATAAGCATTTTGCTGCACGCAGCCAGCTTAAAGTAATAAGGTTTATTCTTCATCCCGATACAAGCAATTTGGTGAAGAGTTAATTTTATCCTTTAATTTTTTTAATAATAAGAGTCAGCATTTAAAAGGAATAGCAGCTCAAACAGCATTATGCTTAGCTTTATTTTTCATAATTAAAAAAATAAAGAAAAAATAAAGAACAATTTATGAGAAATTACAGACAAATAACATTTACTTGGTTCTGATATTATTTATACAAAGGATCAGAGAAGTTCTGCACAGAACTCTGCCAGTACAACTCAAAACAAATTAATCTCACTATTCTAGAAAGGCTACTATGCTACGCAAATGGGACAAAAAAATAAGCCTAAGGGAGCTTACAACTCATTCTGAAACCAAACCAACTACATTAGATGGGGGGCAGAGGAAATAATAGTGAGAGTTTCTCTTGCTACCTGTATTACTTACAGTGTTACATAGCTTAGTTTTAGTCACTTACATTTCTATTCGTTTGTGGGTTTTTTGGTTTTTTTTTTTTTTTTTTTTTTTGTTTTTTGTTTTTTTTTGTTTTTTTTTTTGTGTATTTTAGTTCTTCTGCAGCTTGGTAAAATAAATTCCTTAATGCATAAATATTTATAAATATATCCTTGTTTTTTTTCCCCTGGATGATGACTGTCAACCTAAAGCACCTTTACGTGATGCTGGCACTGGGACTCCAGCTGCAGCTCAGAAAGCAATCCCAGGCTTGTTGTGGGCTCAGTACACAGTAACAACCAAAGCCACCAACAAAACACTGGCCCACACTGATACAGGTATCAAGACAGAACTCAAAGGCACTATCGTGTCACTTTGCAAAACCTCACTGCACTTACACAGATAATACTGCGTGTGGTTCTGGTCCTGCATCTCCAGGATTTATTGGAATCAGGAAAAGGCTGCAAACAGGATTAGGGACCAGAGGTGCCCTCAGAAGGAAGGCTAGACAGTCTGGGGCTACTCGGTTGGGGGAAGAAGGCATTTCCCATTTTACAAGCCACAGAGCAGGCAGAAATTTGGAAGATGATCACCTCATTAACTATACCTTGCAAAAGAAGAGCTAAAGTGACTCCTTGAAATCGGGAGATCAGTGAAGAAAAACAAACCAACCCACCTCCTCTTTCCCTCACAAAGCAGAGCAGCGACTTTCAAGACATTGTTGCTATGTACTTCCAACAGTGAAACAAGCTTGCTAAGAAACCTTTCTACGTGACAACTGAGTCCTGCCTGCATACTCAGCTAGTTTGCGTACGACAGCAAAACAAACAAACAAACACCAAAAAAATCCAACAAAAAACAAACACGTTTTTAGCATCGAGCTTGAATATTCAATACACAAGCACTCCAGCATGGTTTTCCACACTTTACTGACGCATTCATTGGGTTTCTCCCAGTGACTTCTGCAACTCTCACCGTATCTCCGCGGCGAATCCCCCTCCCTACGCTCCCCTGGGCTCCGGCTGCACCCCACTCCCCTCTCTGCTCCCTTCGGGACTGAGCAGCCTTCCTCCGCGCAGAGCTGCTCGGCGCAGCCCAGGACTCAGCAGAGGGGGCACATACGGAGGAGAACGGGGACTTACAGACCACCCGCCGCCCGTCCCCGTCGCCTACGGGCTCTCTCACCTGGGGCTTCGCAAGTTGCACGCCGCCTCCTCGGCATCGCTCTCCGCCACCGCCTCCTCCCCGATGTCGGGCAGGGTGATGAGCAGTGCCTTGTCGCCCGCCCAACTCCCGGCCTCCTCCGTGGCAGCGAGCAGCGGTCGCGGTGAACGCCCGCCGGCAGCCGGCGTACAGCTGCCTCCGGAGGGCGGGCAGAGGCTGCGGGCGGCCGGGCCGGGATCCGCGGCGGAACGGCGCAGTCTGACCAGGAAGGAGCTCAGCTCCAGCGCCGCCACCTTCATGGCAGCGAGGCGGGAGCCCCTTGCCCCCAGCCTGGCCCGACCCTGTCCTGTCCTCTCCTCCCCTCCTGCGTTGCTAAGCTAAACAAATCCGATAGGCGTTCACCGCCCCGGCAGAGCCGTCAGCCTACGCCTTGTGCTCGTGTCAGGTGTGAAATACTGGGCAATGGAAAAGACGTTTTTCCTTTAATTAGAAGTCCACCTCACCCTGAGGGGTAGAAATCAGCTGACTGCGCGTCAGTGCCCCACTTCAAGCCCTTTCTTCATCCACTGCACTCCTATTTGCACAAGGAAAGACTAAGAGGCAGGTAGGGCGAGTGACTCCACCAGCAGCCTTTCACAATGTGCCAGGCAGCTGCATCAGGAAGTACCCTGTGGAAAGATGCCACCAGCCCAGCTCCTGTGACTGGGAGAGCAGCGGGCTCAGGAACAACAGCTTGTGTAGGTTGGGGCAAACACTGCACTAGCAATATAGAGCTGTCTGTCTGGACAAAGAAAAGTATGGTTGTACCAGCAGCAACCTGGGCACACTGATGGCCAGTATTATAGTAGAGGCAAACAATGTGCCAGTTTAGAGACTGTGACAGCTAACATGGCCTCTGGCAGTAACCAGGAGAGCAGCAGGACCACACATCAAAAAAACCTTCACTACCTAAAAGGGTCTATAAGAAAAGAAGGAACTCTTTAGCATGAAAAGGTCCATAAAAGGCATCCAGATTTGCATCTATCCCTCACCCTGTCACAATGAAGTTTACCAAAACACTTCTGGTGCACAGCATTTGTCCTACCTGCATATCCCTTGTTTGGGAACTTGGAGCCCTAATGCACTTCTTCAGTAAAATGAGATTCATGAAGTTTCATTCATCTACTCTGTAACAGAATGTATTATGAATGTCATGAACTTGCTCATTACTCTCCATAATCTAAGAAACACAGCAATAGACAGGTCCCAACTCAGCTCTACAAACCTGAACATTCTACCTTACTCAAGCATTCTACCTCTTTAGATATCTTGATTTTAATACAGATAATTCCTCTTTATCTGAGATAGTATCTTTTATGCTACAAACGTGGTACTGCTTTTCACCTATTTGATCTCTGTCTTCTCAGCAAGTCACTATAAAGTGGTCTGATGCCACCTACTGTATAGAATCTAGGCAGTTCAGACTGAGTGTTAACCATGAAAGGATTTAAAACTCTTCATCATGGTAAGTAAGCCCATTTACTTACCCTCAATAACACTGTCAAACAAATATGTAGGAGTAAAACAAGGAAGACCAGGCAAACAGGGAAGAGTAATACAAAAATGTTATATATATTCATGTTTTACTATTGGCTCTGTGCTTAATGCTTTCATGATTTTTTTTTTTAAACATTACTCTAGTTCTTATTGTGACCGTTTACAATGTGTTTTTTCCATGTAAATGATTTTAAACTGAGTTCAAAATTATAATATTTAGAATACTCATACTTTTATCATATAAATCAATTATCATTTACAAGTAATTGCACTAAGTTTGTATTAGCTGTATTGCATAAGTATCCATAACACATCTATCCACTGTTTAGAGACCAGTTATGGGGGTAGTTATATTTACAAGTGTATCTTCATAGAATTTAGATCTATGTCATTTATCATTTTATGTCATTTATCAGTTTAAGGGCCAGAAAAGACCATTTGATCATTTGATTTGACTTCTCGTATCATGTTTCACCTCAGTGTTTCTCTGCAAATTCTCTGCATCTTAATCAACATGTGAAATGCTAAGATATTCTAAACAGTTCATTTTCAAGTGAAATGAGAAATTCTGCTGTATTTTGACACTGCGGGGCTAGGAAACATAGGTTCCCTTTCACGGGTTGGTCTTTAAATAAGAGAAAGAACGATTGACAAGGTACATCCCTGGCACCCCATCCTTACCGCCTTGCCTTCTCAGCTTTCATGGCCTACACATGAAGAGCGAATTCGTCACTTAGCCTGAAAAGGACGGAAAGATGAGATGAAAGCATCACAATGGGATAATCCTATTACAGTAATTAGGGAATCATTATCTATCACTTCACCTGTAAACAAACCTTTTGTTTTCACTTCAGGACCTCCTGAGCCAGTGAAAGTCGTCTGCTTTGCTTTCAACTCTTCTAGTGCATGCAAAACCCAGTTCATTGAATTTATATTTCATTATTATTCATTTATATATTTTTATCAATGCTAGGGGGAAACAAAGAAGTAAAAACAAAAATAGTCCTGAGCTAATAAATGATCGAACAACTAAAAAAAAAAAACAAAACCAAAAAAAAAAACAAAAAACCAAAACCAACCATCAGAGGAGAAATTAAACATTAATAGGGACAAAGGGACATGACTGTCTACAGCCCATTTTGCAATAAATTGTGTTCAAATGCTCCACAGAATCACAATGAGCATCAAACACAATAAACATTTTGGACAATTTTGGAGCATGCTTTGCTGGTTCTTACCTCTCTCTAGATCAAGGTACTAGCATACAAGTTTGAACCTTAATGCCATGCAAGTGCTAACTACCCCAATTTTCTGTAAAGTATTTTAAGGAAGAAAATACCAAATGAGTGTATAACAAGTTACACTAAAGAATTCCTCCGGGTTTATCCATTTTCAAAGGCTTCAACTATAGAAATTATTTCATTGTCATTGTGCTTAATATAGAAAAAAAATTAGGTTTGTTTTCTATTTATTTTCCTTTGAGATTTAAAAACAAGTTGTAGTGTCCATTCTGCTTTCTAGACAGGATTTGAAATTTTATCATTGCCTCCTTTTCTGCATACCCTGCTAATGTAGAGTCCATGGCTTTTCTGCATTACATCAGATGGATATTTTTTCTATTTTTTCTGACTTCAGTCATTCTCACCACTTTCCAGAATATCTCACATTATTGATGCACATACTGAAATGACTATCAAATGCTATTACTTCAGTATAGGTGAAGTACAATATCAGCAAGTACATGAACTTAGACAAATAAATATAAATTATCAACTTTCAGTGTCTTATTCCAATATGACAATTTCTTTTTTTTTCCCAGCTTTTACTGGAGACCTGCTAGTTTTCTAACATCAGAAAAATGAATTCAGCGCACTTTACTGTCAGATTTAAGTGCCATCATTAACTGCTGACGAAATGCATTGATTCTTTCCTTCTGGACTGGCCAGTTCAAGATGCAGCGAGATCTGAACATTCCTCTTCTCAAGCAAAGTGCATGATTCAACTTGTAATCTTGTATATTATGAAGAAAGATCAGTATGATGGAGTCTCGACTTTGTTCAATAGCTTGCTGTAAAGCATGATGCACCTTAAACCTGAAGGAAAAGTAAGACAAAATTTTAAGTTCAGGTTTGGGAACAAATGACATAGATCTTTTGATAGTGCATATAATAGCATGCTGTAAAATCAGGGTCTAAATTTGAAGCGAAGTCTTAATGTATGTTTTATGATATAAAACTCTCATTACTTACATCAAATTGGTTACATTTTAAATAAAGGATAGAGCATACTCTTAAAATATAACCTAAGTCTACTGTCTTGACATAGCCATAATTAGCAAGGTTCCTTCAAATTCACTGCTGAAGAGTAGTGAAAAGATTTGCTTAAAGATACGTAAAAACAGATGCTAGTGATTGCACCATTGACTGCCCTGTTTCAAACACAGAATTTTAAGGAAAGCAATCTGCAAAGGTAATGGTTTCACATTTTGAAAAGAAAAAAGAAAGACATACATACAGAAGGGTTCAAATATTTACTAGTTTACATGTAGAGCAATTAAGTTTATTAAATTTGTAACTGTTCCAAAAGTAGGATATGTTAAAGGAGAATTTGCATTGCATTTTTAATTAATTTAAATAGCAAAAAAAAAAAAAAAAAAAAAAAAAAAATTAATAAAAATCTGTTAAGAAATTTCCCCTTTACATACAGTATTTTATATTTTACTCACTTCCTGCACCATGGATCCTGTAAGAGATGTTCAGTCACAATAAAAATAATCTTTCTGCTCTTTCTTATGCTGTTAATTATAGCTTCAAATTCAGATATTCCTGCTTCGAAGTCTCGTTCTTCTAGACAAAACTTAACTTGAAATTGCTCATTTTCTTCCAAAGAGGTGAAGTTCGTCAACACCCAATCTGTGTCTTCTCTTGCATGAATAACATAGGCATCATAATCAAACACTCCCTGTAGTCTGTCAAGCTCTTTAAAGCCAAGTATTCGATTTACAGAAATATTCCAGTAGAAAGCTATTCTCCACCCTTCAAAATGGATGAGAAGAACGAAGAAAATGAATTGCACCACAATAGTGGTAATGATCACAAACAGAAGCTTAAATGGAGCGCTGTCTTTGCAGGCTGAGGTGTCAAAATGCAACACCAGAGTACTGTGATATTTAGGCGGGGTGTTACAAATGTACTGAGACTGCAATCCAGGTATATATGCTTGAGTGATATTTAGCCAACTAGCAAACCAAGCAATGCTTTCACAAGTGCAATCAAATGGGTTGGAATCCATCTCTAGTTTTCTCAGGCTCTTGAAAACTGGACCAAACACATCTTCTTCAACTGAGGTTATTAGATTTTTCTGAAGGTTCAACGTATTTAGAGAGTTTTGGTTATCAAATAAAGTTGCTGGCAGCAAATTCAAATTATTTGATCCTAAATCCAAGTCTTTTAATTGATGCAGACCCTTGAAAACATGAACTGGAATTTCATCAAAGCCATTTGATTTTAAATTAAGAACATGCAAATTGGGAAGGTCTTTTAAAAAAAGAACTGGACCTCCTGGATTTGCTTGTTTCCAAAGTCGAGCTAAATTATTGTGCTGCAAATCCAGAATATCGAGTTTGTAAAGTCCATCAAACAAGTCTTCCTTTATGTTTGCTAAGTTGTTATTGCTGATGTCCAGGACAGTCAGATTCCGTAGTGGATGAAAAGGTGAAGGAGAAATTGCCAGATTATTGCAACCTACCTTCCTTAACATCAGTTTGCTAAGACTTGGAACAAAAATAAATGATTCACTTTGCAAAGTCACGTTTCTGTTGTAAGAAAGATAAATATATTCTATATTATTGAGACCTTCAAACTCATGACCAGTGAGCACTTGATGAATTTCATTGAGACCAAGATCAAGAATTTTCAGTTGTCCCAACAAGGAAAATGCCCCACTTTCTACTGTAGAGATCCTTGTTTTTGTGAGATTGAGAACTTGCAAGCTGGAATTAGCAAGTGATACAAATGTTTTATTAGTTATTCTTTGCAAGTTTATGTTGCAGTTATAAAGACTTAAATATTTCAGGTTTTTCAGACCTGTGAACATGTTAGTCGTGATTTGTGGAAAATTGTTATGATCCATTGTAAGGTACTCTAGGTTATATAACCATTGGAAGGAAAAATCTTCAATTTTCCCAGTAAGTGCGTTTATCAGATTCAGATGTTTAATGCTGGACAATCCATAAAATAAACGTGAAGACACTTTAAAGATGTTATTATCCTCCAAGTTCAAGTACTCTAAATTTGACAGCCATTGGAATGAGTCATCCTCTATCACAGAGAGAGAGTTTTTTGAAAGGTTTAAAACTGTGAGGTTTGTTCCTTGTAGTCCCTGGAGAGTTAACCTGCTAATGTGTGAGAGCTTCACATGGCTCAGTGAGAGGTTCTGAATCGCTGTGTTTGATAATTCCGTACAAAGTTCCTTTGTGCTATTTTCACCAAGTTCCACATTGTTCAGTATAAGGCCAAACAGATTTCCAATTGCATGTAAACATCCTGTGTGAAACTAAAAGGAAAGGAAAAGAGAATTTTGACCTAAACAAGAGAGTTATATAAGAAAGTCGAACTTAAAGCCTAAATTTGGGAGGGTTATTCAAACGAGAGCATCAGGCAGACTGGAACTCCTGCACACTTTTTCCACATCTGAGTGTAGACAAAATTCTTGAAGTGGTATCTCATGTTCTAAAATTTGTAATATGGTCACCATGATTTTGAGTGGTACTCCTTTAGAATAAGATAAAAGGTTTCTTAGTGAGATGAGAGTTGGTTACAGTTTTGCATTCAACTAGTAAAAATATTTCACTGTAAGTATCTTAGTGGTTGAGACAATGTTTCCATATCACTTTCTTTAATTGGTATCTTATAACTGTAAAAAAGTTAACAAAGAAACAGTTTTTCTGCATGAGCACAATCTATATTCATGAAACAGGATACCACACACTTGCTTCCATGACATAAATCAGAAGTCACCATTACAGTGCTAGCCCCTCATCTCGGTTTCAGATATCAGTGGAATGATTAAATACTCCATTTATTAGTGTGCATATTGTTGCTTTCCAGATATCCGACTTGTAAAATCAGAACTAGTTAAACTGACATAGAGCAACCTTTGCAATTGCATCTACTTAGTCATCTGCTGTATCCTTGTGCCAGTATGGCTATACATGCAGCCATATAATGAACAAGATAGGGAACTACCCTAGTCGTAAGCTAACCATGCCAACAAAACTGTAGTGTCCCCAGGTGATCTACTCTATATCCTCACTAAGGTTTGTACAAGTAAGGAGGAGAAGTGAAGCATCAATGGGAATAGAGAGAGAGAGAAATTGCCTCTCTCAAGTTGTACAAACTTACGCCAACTCAAAATATTCTTGCAATTACAATGTAAAAGTTTATACAGATGAATCAACTGGAGAAAAAAAAAAATTCACTATTCATGCAAGTTTAGAAATGCAACGCTTACCATCACTCTTCGAAGGTTTGTATTTTAACTGAGAACAAGATTGAAAGCAACAAGGCAGGTGGCAGAGCCAACACACACTTAAAAAAACAAACAAGTGGATATATTTTTCTGCAAAGATTATTTCTCTGGAGTACTATGCTTGCATAAATGATGTTTCTTTGTGATAACCAGAGAGACCTATATTGTTTAACTAGTTTTGCATATTATACTTTTCCCCAACTTAGATTTTTTTCAGCTGTTCATCTTCAGTTCTAAAACTAAAAAAAAAAAAACCCTATAAAATACACTTGATGAGGGTTCACAGAGGTACTTGATCTAGCTCTTGCTTGAGGTCTCTGGTCTACATGAGACCAGCTCTTATTCAGTGGAAGGAAAATAATTTTGTATTACATCTGAAGATCAGGAGTAGTCCTATATACAATAGAATAGTTGCAGGTTTGATCTTGATAAATTCAAAATATAATCATTATACAGAAGCCATACAACCACATGTTAAATCAGAATAGTTCCATTTTATACTTACATCGGCTGAATTTCTACTGAAATGCTTCCTACCTTTTTCAGGGGGTTTGATGACAAATCAAGACTATTCAATGAAGTGTTGCTAAGAAATTTCAAGTCTTCTTTTTTTAACTCAGTGATTTGATTGCTGTACAACACAAGGTCACGAAGGTTCTTCAGCTGTTGCTGCAATCCTAAATTTGCTGACTTCAAATGATTATGAGATAGATCCAAAACATTCAAGTTCTGTAGAAAAGATGTAAATAAAAAAACCTTTTTATGTAATTAAAAAAGAACATTCTGAAATATTATACTAGAAATTGGTTGCAATGCTACAATGAAAATAAATTTGTCGTAAAGAATTGCAGCTTTTCCACACCTGTAGGAAAAAGCTTTCTGTGTGCTCCAAACACCATCAACAAGGCAGTGGAAAAGGGAGGTCCACAACTTCAGTTCTGCTCCCTGCACTGTTTTGTATATAGTTGGAAGTCAGCAAGCACATTTTATGTAACTTAATTGGAATACTGAGAGTAAAACAAATGTTTGTACCTATCCAAAACATGCATACTCACTTTCTTTTCTCCTCAGGCCCTTCCTTTTACATGACTCCTGCCCACAAATATGCTACAGATAATACTTAACCAAACCCAACCAACCAGGAGAAACAAAGGCAATTAAAAGCCTTTTTATTTTCCCAATCCCCAAAGCCCTGGGAGACAGTACATTTAGCCTAAGCATTGATCTTTACAGCCTGAGTTTTTACAGCTTGTCCTTGAGAATTTAGACTAGCAACCATCATTAGACTCATGAAACTCAGATTCCTGACCACACCATACTTCACCAGAATAAATCCTGTATGGAGAGATGCTTTGACAAGATGCAGCAGAAAAAAAGCTACGGAGAGCGTTGACTCCCCAGACAACTGAGGCTGCAGTGTATTTTAACACAATAAGACACTAAGCCTTTTCTTTGGAAAATCAACAAAGATCATATGCCAGGTATTTTCAAATGCAAATAGGCCTTGTACACACATGCAATAAATTCCCCATACATACTTTATTTACCAGAAAACGTATTTCTAAAGCTTACCTCCAGGGTTTTGAAAGGATCATTTCTTACTTCTATGATGTTGTATCCTAGATTGAGCTCAGTCAGGTTGCTGCAGGTAGCAAACACTCCATCAGGAAGTTCATGCAATTGATTGTGTTCTAGCTTTAAAATTTGCAACAGGGGCATATTTTTGCACAATTCTGGTTGCAGTTTAGAGATGATGTTGTATCCCGCATTTAAGTAAATCAGATTGCTGTACTGGGTCAGACTCTCAGGAGCAAGCTTTTTTAGCTGATTATGGGAAATGTCCAAACCTGTTATATTGTTTGGAAGATCAGAAGGAATTTGTGTCAGCTTTAGGTGACTACAATCTGCCATTGTATTTCTAATCTGACATTGCTTTCCAACTGATGCACACAGTAAGCAAACAGACACCAGTTTCAAAGATAAGCTGTTCCAGCAAAGAATAGAACATCCCATAGTTTTACCTGCAAAGGCAAAATGAACACACGTTAACAAATCAGAATTATTTTGACACAATCATACTTTAAACTGAAGGCCTAAGCAAGACAAACACAAAAAATTCATGCAGTCTGAGCAAACATCATTTTTTCACCGATGAGGTATTATCCATTTTGGTGGAAAAGATGTGTGTAATAACCACTCTTCACTGAAAATAATTATGTTTAAAGAGCTACTAACCATTTGTCTATAACTACCACAAATTTCCAACAATTCTTCCTTTTCTAATTTTGCATTGCTTTACTATGCATATAAATAATAATAAATGACAAACAAACATACAAATAGTACACAGCCCCCTCTGTGTTAATTACCTATGCCCTGAACTTTAATTGTGCTTAAAATATTTGAAGATACATGCAGTAAGAATGCGCAGCCTCTTCTTTATTTTACAGTTCTTGCCTGTTCTTGTTTCACAAGCCAGCCACACAAAATTCAAATAATCTTTCCACCTTACTTAGGCTTTTGCTTGTCTAACTTCAGTTGCAGATAAAATAAAAGAAGGAATGCTAGCCTATAGAAAGGCATATGAGCAGACAAAATGAATCTATACCAACCTTATAACTCACTTAGCTAGTCAGGAAAGTGAGAACCAAGATGTAGAGAAAATGTTCTTCATAGATTCAATGCATTTATTCAAATGCTTTCACAAAAACATACTCTTTTTCATGGAATCACATTTTTTTTCCCCCAGAAAATTTTAAGAATTAACATATTCCTCAATATCTCAAGTACTTCCATTACGATATCAAAATCTGCTCACCAGTGCACTGATCTTCAATGGTACTGCCTGTTTAGGCACTACATTACATTTCTGATCAATCACAGACTTCTTCATATTTTATGCAGTTTCAATTTAGCCCTAATTCAATTTCAGTTTAAGACCCAAATTCATCTATCTATTTTGTAATACAGCTTTACTGGAAGTGAAAATTAATTCCACACAAATTCTGATCTGAACAGAGCTGTAAGAACTCAGAATGGTGTGACTATCCTGCTCAGTCAGAGTTTGTCCAATTAAACAGCATTTCTGCTGATCAAGTGACTTCTGTATCATTTTCACCTGAATTATCTCCAACAATGGAAGAAGAAATAATTCAGGTGTGCTTCCCAGCATGTTTTTCTTTGCTTTCACAGATAGAGGTAAGCTTAGGTTCTGCTGCATTTATTCTTAAAAGTAAAAAATACTTCTATTATTCCCTCTAAAGTGGTAAGTGTCTTCACAGTCCTCATATATACATATTCCTACGGCCTTCTGCCATCAGGTTGGAGAACCTGCCCGCCCATCCTCAGTTCAAGTCTCAGTATCATGGGCTCCCAGGAGAAAAATTGTGCCTACTACAGATTACAGAAGAGGATTTTAACCTCATTGGGCTTTGGGGAATCCACAACAGCCTCTCCAAAGACAAACTCTGAGGATGACCCCTTGGTTCTGCAGGTCACATTTATATATTCTTGAAAGTTGCCACTCATTAACACAATCTAGTCTTGAGCTCAAACTCCATGGAAAATTGCAAACAATGAAATGAAATTTAGCCAGCACATTTGCACAGAAAAGCCTTTCTGAAGTGATAAAGAAAAAGCTTTCTGAACTGATGTTTTGAAGAGAAGAATTTTCAGCACATAACAAAACACTCCAGTGAACTGTTTCTGCAACCTGCAGTGCAATGAGGCTTCAGCAAGTCAGGCTGAGTAGCGTTCAGCCTCACAGGGGGCCTGCCTGTTCAGGGGGAGCATGTTAGGACTGCTCCAGCATTACAACGGCCAGAGGGGGACCTTGTGAGTGCTTTCTTGGGATCAACCTGACTTCATAGCGAAAGACCTTAGTTAAATCAAATGGGAACAAAGAGATAAGGGAAAGAAGGACTGAAAGCATTACAAAGCTGTGTTCAAAGGACTGCAAAATACTGTTTAAAATAAGTCTTAATAAAAGTTAATTTTCTTACTAGACACTGCATATGGACCTGCCCTGCTTCTTGCAGTTCAGACTGGTTCACTGCTCACCTGTGAGCAAACAGGAGAGGGGAGGAGACAGCAAACAACCCAACCTGGCAGTCTTGCAGGCAGGTACTGGAACACAGTGGCCCATCCCTCCATCTGAGGAAGATGAGATTGCTCCCTAATTGTTCTCATTTCATCTCTAAGTTGGAAAGAAGAAGAAATGCACTCACTATGCAAACCCCAACACTGCTCTTTGCCTGACCTCCAACAAGGCCAACAGGGCTGCCTTCTTGTGCTTGGCTATTTTCATTGAAGAAAGTCTGGAGACGGCTTGAACTGTTTTATGCTTTCATTGGAAACCTGGAGAAGTAAATATTATCAGATTTAAAAGGCAAGGTTACAGAATAACTTTTAAGGGAAAACAGACAGAACAGGATTTCTCAGTGATACCAGCGAGGATCTTTAAAAATGCAGAACTGCAGCATCTCACAGAGAGGGACATTCCTGCTCCTTCACTATTGCTTGTTTTAAAGCAGAACTCTCCCTCAGCCAGCTGGGACTCCACCGCTAGGCACAAGCACCGAGGCACGTTCTCATGAAGCAAAAAGCAATGGCACCGACTTTGCTAACTTGCTTTTTACAAATTAAGAGAAAGCCACAAGCCACGAAATCGCCGAACTCCGGAGCAGAACTTCAGCTTCGCCGTCTGACACCCTCATTATTACCAATAAGGGAAGAAAGACACGCACTTACCTCTGTGGGCTTCACCTCCTCCAGCGTGGAGCCGCCGGCGCTCGAGCACGAAAACCACGAGGTGAGGCCGCCCGGGGCCGGAAGGAGAAGCGAAAGTGAAAGCGGGGACAGGCGGGGCACGGCTGCTGGCAGCACGGTATGCAACATCAGGAGACTGCATTACGGCCCGGGCTGATACCCAAGGCTCTGGAAAGATGTGGGCCAATATCCCAAAAGCAGATGGGATGTTGCTGCTGTGGGGATATTTCTCTTATTGTGAAAACAGTTCTTAGTAAGGATCCTTTGGAATCACATAAGTATCACTTCTTCAAAAGGGAATTTATGTGATGGTACAGTATATTAATTTTAATAAGTAAACAATGAGACCTTTTCTATTACATTAAAGTAAGAAATTGTTTTTTAAAGTCCCAATAAATGTTTCAGATATGCTTTTAACAGCATTTGTGAGTTCACATTTTCCAGTGACGTAGCTACCACTTCTCTGGAGAGGATTTACTCAGTGTGTTCCTAGGGCCACGACAGCAGGTGCTGCTGCTTGATGTACCAGCACTGCTGCACCAGCGTGTCACAAATACTGAGGCCTCTCCCTCAGGAGCCCTCTGCAGGGCTCACCCAGCCAGGTGCTCAGCATATAGCCGTAGCACTGAATTCAGTTCATTTTCAGCCTGACAGAAGTTAGTCCTAATTCTCAGTGTTAAGATTCCAAAATGGAAAGCAGAACCATACTCATTTACAGCAGAAAGGCCTGTTTTATTCCCGTTTCACAACTGTGGGAAGAGGAAATTTGTTCCATGCTCCACCATATGCTTCAGCACTGGTAAGTTGACCCTCGGTGCAGTCACACTAAAATACTCTGAGGAGAATTTTCCCCTGTGTTCTACTACTCTGCTGTTCTGTAATCTCTGGAAAAGACTGCATTGAGGGTAATGAAGCACAATAATTAACAGCTTACAGAGAGTATTATTCCAACAGAGCAGCATTATCAAATATTCTGCATCTTTTCTATCTCTGGACCATACCCTTTGTCAACACAAAACCTTTATTTCACATTTTTACTGATTCCTGCTCAATACTCTTTCCCTTTTTTTTTTTTTTTCATGATTGACAAGAACTAGCAGATACTAATGTGCAAGGCAGACTCAAGAGTGAACACAATTGTGCGAATTCAGCAAGCACAGGGTTTCTGAGGCAGAGGACACACCTATGCTTATTTAAGTGGCTTGGAAACACATAAAGTTCTCAAGCTTCCATAACTTCAGTGTAAATAAATGATACTTAGGTCTTCAAGAGCTGGAAAGGACATGACAAATTCGTAACAACATAAAGTCAAGCACACTGCTTGCCCAGAAAATACAGAGAAAAAGCAGGGCGAAATTAAGCAATACCTTCATGCAATGTTTGAAGATAACAGCTCAAGTCAATCAGTTCTGAGTGATGACATAAGGCAGCCAGGCACTATCTTGAAGAGGTGGCCATTTCACACATACTTAGCAGCAGAGAGGAACCAGATCTGGTTTAGGCTTCCCTGGGCTCTAAGCACTGAAGTGTGGGGATGTATGTGCTCAAGGAGCACTCCCAAAACAAACATGCCACCACAGCTTAGCCTAGAACAAAGCAAAAAGAATTCTGCTGATCTTAATCTGACTTTCAAATACATACAAGTACTAACACAGTAGCACCTGATTATAGTTGTGACTTCAGCATTTTCATAACCTGCAGATGAGACGCAGGCATCAAAGGGAAGAGCCAAGATAACAAAACATACACAGTCACTACCTCTGCCTATTAGCTTCTTGGTAAGAGCACTATATACTGTAGTAGAGCTTAGACAGAATTTGTAGTTCTACTTGGACAAAAAAAAGCAGGAAACCAAAGACTTGTATAGTTAAGATCTTAGGCGAGGCTTGAGAAGTGACATTCTGCAATACAAATCAATTTTCTACCACTAGGGATAGACGAATAGATGTTTTTCTGGCATTGTTGTAAGACAAATTCAGCTTTGTTCACTTGAGCTGCTGAGGAATCTAACAGGTCATGCGCTTTAGGTTCTGGTAAGGCTACTCATTAATCACTGCTTATTTAGCAGTGGAAGGCTGTAATATCTGATTTACTGCATTAAAATTTTATTGCTACAGAAGGGCAATAGAGCAGATCTGAGGCTTAAGATGCAGATCCCTGAAAAAGAAGACTATATACCCTAACTCCTGGGTGCTATTTGAAGACAGGAGAATATTTTGATGCATTTCTTTTTCCCAGCTGAAGACATTGCCTGGGTGGGTTGCCTGGCTGAGAATTCTGCCATTGTTTGGGACTTAAGCAACCCAGTAGCCAGCAGTAAGCAGTAGATATGACTGAACTATTTATCACCTCTAAATTCAAGTTACAATGGACATGGAAATTCTGCAGCATCTGCTCACCAGCTCTGGCAGTGGTTTATTCCTTCTTGATGCATTGCAATGACTGAAGATCAATTGCAACTGCAGAGTAAATCACATTTACCACAGGACAAACTGCACTTCACTTCCTACCCAGGGAATCCTAATTCCAGAGAAGCCTGGGGCACTTTAAGATTAACATTTTAGTCTAGGTTAGAAAAAGTAAAAAGGCATCAATTCAGTATTTCCACTTTCGAAGAAGTGTTGGTGTTTCTTGTATGTACAACTTTTTTTTTTTTTCTCAAATATATTTTGAAATGAAACATTTTAGCTTTTTATATACCAAAGTATTCAAAGGACTGGAGTTTTAACCTCTCATGTGTTCTCATGTTGTAGAAAAAAAATTGGCAATTTCTGTCTCTAAAAATATTCCACTGAAGTTGACAACATTCCTAAAATCTTATTCTTATCCAGCTTTACCATGCATGCACAGTCAATAATTTTCATTTGCAATAGTTTCTATTTCCCAGGATCTCCTTACAGCGTTTAACTGTCTGGTTTCAGAATCCCTTTTTTTGCTGTTCCTCCTTTATCTGCAGGTGTTCACAGTGTATTTGTAGCAAAAATAAATTGTATCCCAAGTATGATCAGATGCTACTGTCCCCACACCAATTGGCTTCACTGACCACAACAAACCTTAAAGTGTAAGAAAGTACAAGTTTTTGCTTTACACTTTGTGGAAAGCAAACATTAGCATAAATCTATCACTCTTAGAAATATTTTCCTACTAAAGATTATGCTTTTAAAGGCAACGTGACTGCTGGCTTTTAAACTTAGGAACCACATCTGTCTTGATCTGAAGTTGATCTGTCCTTTCAATAATTTCTGTATTCAAAGATACCTAAAACATTTTGCACTGCACCTTCTCCTCAATATTCAGTGTCCTGAAAATCTTAGAAGCCTAGATTTACTTAGAGCTCAAAGAAGTAAGATGTGCAAGAGGAACAAAAAAAGGACTGAAGTTCTTTGACATGGTCCCCCACTACATCCTTATCTCCAAATTGGAGGGATGTTGATTTGACGGGTGGACAACTTGATGGATAAGGAAATGGTTGAAAGGATGTGGACAGAGAGTGGTTATTAAAGGTTCTATGTCCAAGTGGAGGCCAGTAATGAGTGGCATCCCCCAAGAGTCCGTCTTAGGACTGGTGCTCTTTAGCATCTTTCTCAATGACATTGATGATGGAATTGAGTGCACCCTCAGGAAGTTTGCTAATGACACCAAGCTGAGTGGTGCAGCTGACACAGTGAAAGGAAAGGATGCCATTCAGAGGGACCTCAACAGACTTCAAAGATAAGCCCCGGTGAATCCAATGAGGTTCAACACAGCAAAGTGCAAGGCTTTGTACTTGGGCTGAAAGAATCCCAGGCATCCATACAGACTGGAAGGAGTGGTCTTTAAGAGCAGCCCTGCAGAGAAGCACCTGGTGGATGAAACACTGAACATGAGCCAGCAGTGTGCTCTTGCAGCTTGGAGAGCAGATGGTATCCTGGGCTCCATCAGAAGAGGAGTGGCCAGTAGGGACAGGGAGGTGATTGTCCCCCTCTACTCTGCTCTTGTGAGGCCCCATCTGGAGTACTGTGTCTAGGTCTCAGGCCCCCAGTACAAGACAGACAGGGAGCTGTTGTAGAGGGTCCAGGTGAGAGCCACAAAGATGATCAGGGGACTGAAGCACCTCCCCTACAAAGACATGCTGAGGGAGCTGGGCTTGCTCAGCCTGGAGAAAAGGCTGCAGGGTGACCTCACTGCAGCCTATCAGTACCTAAAGGGAGCCTACAACAGGAGGGGAATCAACTCCTTGAAAGGGTAAATAACAGCAGGACAAGGGGAAATGGTTTTAAGTTGAAGGAGGGAAGATTTAGGTTGGATGTCAGGGGGTAATTCTTTACTGAGAGAGTGGTGAGGTCCTGGTGCTTTAGGCTGCCTGAAGAGGTTGTGGATGACCTTTCCCTGGAGGCGTTCAAGGCCAGTTTGGATGGGGCCCTGGGCAGCCTGGTCTAGTATTAAATGTGGAGGTTGGTGGCCCTGCTTGTGGAGGGGGGGAGTTGGGGATTCATGATCCTTGTGGTCCCTTCCAACCTGGGCCATTCTGCGATTCTGAAAATGAAGACAAACACACTCACATGTTCCACCCTTCTCCTCACATTTAAGAAACATGTGGCTGTGCTGACAGTCTACTTCAACTGCAAAACAACTTCTTTTAAAATGACCACAGGAACATCTGTTGCCCACACCAATTCAGTGTTGCTTCTTCCATTAAATTATAGTACAAGTAGAAAAAATATCCTTCAGGTTCTCTTTTCGTCTCCAAAATAAATGCATTTTCAACTGTATCAAATCTCAGTGTAATGAAAGGATATGCCAGCAATCACCAGGTATATCATATCAACCATGCACTCGATGTGATGTATTTCACTTACAAGTTACCAGACACATCAAAAGTTTGCTTTTAAATGCTGTGAATGTTTTCTTGCTGGTCCTCCAGAAATATTATGCAACTCCAGTGATAAAAAAAAAAAATGATCCTACTTCTATATATTCTGCCTACAGTTGAAGGAGTGATGGCAATACTCCATTTTATTGTGAAGAATTCAACACTGGTTGTATGTTGCTCCCAAAAGAAATTTTTGAACTTGTTTAAGGCTACCTAAAATTGTATCATGTTGTATTTGGTAATTAGTTTTTAGTTTGCTTAAGAAATTTCAAGAGGTGTTGTACAGGAGCAACTAATTGGCCAAAACTTTTGAGAAAAAATTACCAAATTGTTTCAACATGCCCATTTTGTTTTAATACACTTGGAGTAGTTTATGTTTGTAATGGTAAAGATGTCCCATACAAATTACATATAACAAATGTAACACAGCAATGAAGATGAACAATAGCGAAGGATGAACTGGTATTGTTGAACTGAAATTTCTGCTCTACAAGTGTTATTTACATCTCAGTTCTTCATTTTGAACTAGAATTATGGCCATTTGACTCCAACTAACCACCTTCCAGGCTTTTCTCCAACAGTGCCATTGCATAGCCTGCACTCTTTAGAAGTGGCTGAAAGTGAGCAAAAACCACATTTATGAGGAAGAAAAGTAAGGAAGCATAATCACTATTAAAACTACCAGACTTTATACTCATTAGGTTCAAATCTGAGGACTGAATATCAGTATCAGCACATTTTTATTAAATTCATATGCAGCACTTAAAATCTATTGCTATTTATAAATTAAGATTGTGAAATCTTTTATCCATAAATACGGAACAATATCTTTCAATTCCTTCTAGACAGAACAAAGGCACAAAAAAAGGAAGTATATCTGGTTATAACTAGCTAAACAAACCCCACATATTTAACAATTGATGCACAGTTAAAATTCATTTAAATTGCAAGGCAATTCTTACATAAGTATTGGAAATATGACTATTTCGGACAGGAGGATGGAATCCAGCAAAAAAGAACAGGATCTGACTCAATAGATTTGGAGGATTTTTTACCTACTTCAGTAGGTGCTTTGAGCATATAAAAATACATTTGGAAACATTTGTTTGCAAATACAAACGGACAGTTGTGCACAAATTATATACTTTCATGCTTGCTAATCACTATGCTGCTCTCCATTAACCATGCTGAGAGGGGATTTGATTACCTTATGCCCTGGTCACTTAGCTGTAATTTTGACTTGGGGGAATTTAAAGGAAAAACAATATGACATTCAGACTGATCTGCTGAAGTATCAGCTCGTACTTGAGAAGGATATAAATTCACAGAGAAGACAAAGTGAAATCCTTTTTTTTTTTTCTTTTTTTTTTTTCCCCCCCCATCTATGCCAAGAATGAAAAATGAGGTATGGGAAGTCATATACTTAATGAATGGGTTCCTAGCTGTGGTAATTGGGCTTTTCTCAAGGCAGACAAACCTAGGAGGTGTAAGAACTGAGAGCAGACAGAGGAATCCTGACTCAGAAAGCTATCTTGCCCCACAGCAGCTGAGTAAGTTCATCAAAAGGAAGGATTCACTGACAGGAGCACAGAAAAGATGCAAACGACCGTGAGGGACATCACAAGGATTTAAACGTGTCCAAAGAGCTACTAATATCTGTTTGAAAATGTGTATTGTGCCACTGCCTGCTGTTCACTATTAATTTGTGATGCTACTGAGAACTA